TTTCTAAGCAGTGCCTCGAGTCTAACGAGGCAGAGAACCCCTGAATTCGCTCTGTAACTATGGGCAAGCAGAGGGTACTCCGGTGCATATTATGCATATTAAAAAAAAAACCAGCTAAACAATTTGTTGCAGTCACTGCCCTGACTGTCCCTCCTTGGGTCATGTATCTCACCCGCTTCCCCACCCCTTTGCTTTTTGGCAGGAGAAAGGCAGCCTGACAATACGCTGTTTTTCACTAAGTCTATATATTAGGCAGCATGTTTGGAGGCTGCTGTGATAAATGGTAGTTTGAAAAAAACAGCAGACTTGGAACATAACGTCTTTATGTTCTTGAGAAAGGAGAAAGCCTTAAAACTGAGAAATATTGAGAGAGAGAGAGAGAGAGAGAGAGAGAGAGATCCTACATGTAAGTTAACACACTGTAAACTGATAGATGCTGTAAATTATAGAAGCAATGCTATTAAGTTTTCTTTTATATACTAAGATAACCTTTTAACTGTTTAACCTACGACATATTACAAATTAAACTAAGATAAATTCAGAAGGGTTTTCCCAGAAATTATCGGATTTTGTAAAGTGTGATTCTGGACAAATAGGCCCTAATGTTTTACAGGCTTTTATATCCTTCAATCGATTTTTAGAGAAACTATAATTTTCCAGAGATCAAGAGAAGTTGTCTTTCACCCGTTAGTTATTAATAATTTGTAGAGAAGGAATTAGTTCAACTTAAGCATTTATTTGCATGAAAATAAAGTATAGCAGGTACCCAAAGGCTCCCATTATCGAACTCAAATGTATTAGTTAACGCACAGAAAAGAAACAGTGCTTATGTAAACAGCAGGTTCTCAAATAAGTCCTGGGATACTTTGTGAAAACTGTATAATGAAAAAAACCTTTGAGTACTTACAAGATTATGTCTTCAAGGTCTTATAAAACTTGGTATTTATCCTCTTTTGATAAAAAGGGGAAAAATTGAATATTGAAATGATCCAAAACGTCTTTAGTCACTAAAACCCACTGAGAAAGAAGAAAGCACAGACTTGAATTCAACTCAAGTTACAGGGGTGGGCGGATGAGAACAGGACGGGTTTCAACACTGACAAGTGCAGGGTGCTGCACCTGGGGAGGAAGAACCAGCAGCAGACCTACAGGCTGGGGAGCAACCTTCTCGTCAGTGCAGAGGCAGAAAAGGCTCTTGGAGTCATTATTGATGCCAAAATGAACATGGGCCGACAGTGTGGGGACGCATCCACAGATGCATCTTGAGCAGGTCCAAGGAGGTGATCCTCCCCCTCTACGCGGCACTGGTCAGACCGCAGGTGGAGTACTGAGTCCAGTTCTGGGCGCCGCACTTCAGGAGGGATGTGGACAGCATGGAGAGGGTTTAGAGGAGGGCCACTTGCATGGTCAGAGGGCAGCAGTGCAGGCCCTACGAGGAGAGGCTAAGGGACCTGGACCTGTTCAGCCTCCACAAGAGAAGGCTGAGAGGGGACTATGTGGCGGCTGCCTACAAACTTGCCAAGGGGGACCATCAGGCATTGGGGGAGTCCCTGTTTCCCCGAGCACTACCGGGAGTAACAAGGAATAACAGCCATAAGTTGACAGAGAGTAGATTCAGACTAGACATCAGGAGGCGCTACTGCACTGTCAGGGTGGCTAGGAGCTGGAACCAACTTCCAAGAGAAGTGGTGCTCGCTCCTACCCTGGGGGTCTTCAAAAGGAGGCTAGATAGACACCTTGCCAGGGTCATTTGACCCCAGCATCCTTTCCTGCCCAGGCAGGGGGTCGGACTTGATGATCTGCTTAGGTCCCTTCCGACCCTACTAACTATGAAACTCCAAGTTTAGTTTAAAATAAAGTTAAAGTAAATGAGGGCAGACAATCACAACGAGTATTTCTACTCTGCGTGTCAAAAGAGCTGACTTTTGGGACAAAAGGGGAAAGAGGCAGACAACAGGACGCAGTCTTCAGCGGAACCTCAAAATATCTACCACCAGACTAACTGAAATTAAATAATCATTAAGTTTGCACATGGCATGTGATTCACCGAATGCATTTCTTTGAAAGCTTTGCTATTAGCTCACTGACAGCCACTAGCTTTTATTCACTGTAAGACGTTGCAGGTTTTTAAGCACAGAACTTGATGGTCAAAAGCAGCTCACTCAGAGCAGGAAACTGCTGACCACTAAGGTTAATTAAAATGTCCTTTTTCGGAAAACAGTTTACAGCTTCTCTTCTCTTCTCATCTGTATTTCTGTTTTGTGACAACAGCCAACATGTTCTGTTGCAATATTATTTCTGATTGCCATAAAGTACACTTCATCTCTTTCTCCCTTCCTGCACACACGCACGCAGAGCTGGAGTTCACAACTGAAAATACTCACTTAGATAAAACTTAATTACCACCTTCAGCACTGATTAAACTCAGGAGTTTTTGACACTGCTGGGCAGTGCAGCTCCCCCCAGAGCAATGCAAAGAGCCCAGCTCAGTTTCCTTCCCCGTATGCATACCGAAAAAGTGAAGAATTTCTAACTGGCTTTGGTGGGTCAGTCTCCCAGGGGCCCCATTGTACTGTTTTGATTCC